GTTTACTGGCACCTGACGGGTAATAAACTGGGCACGTGCACATTAGGGGGAAAGACAGTCCCTGGTAGAGAACTTAAGACGTTCATGCAGGAACCCAGCTACCTCCGTTGCTGCAAGCATTTTTAAAATTTTAAACACAATCCACAAGCAGTCCAACTTATTGTCTCATTGGGCTCATCCCACAAATCAATAAAAATAGAAACATTCCCACTGATGTGCTTATTTCCAGGATAGAGGAAAGATCTGGATGCAACTATGTCACTATGTCTCATAGCAATATCATCCAGCTAAAGAAAAGTAACAAATAAACGGAGCTACCTCATTCTTACCAGGAAAAGCTAAACGGAGAAAAGAAAGGAACAAAAGTAAGAGGAGGAAAAATTAAAGCTTTTAAAAAGAGCATTTACATAAATGTGAGCACCACTGAATAAATCCCTTTGGTTTACAACCATAACACTTAGATGTAAGGGGAATTCATCAGTTTTTTTTTTCTTTTTTTTTATGTTTTTTTTTGTTTTTTATTTATTTTTAGGAGAGAGATAAAGAGACAGTGTGAGCAGGGGAGGGTCAGAGAGAGAGGGAGTCACAGACTGAAACAGGCTCCAGGCTCTGAGCTGGCAGTCAGCACAGAGCCCGACGCGGGGCTCGAACCCACGAACCGCGAGATCATGACCTAAGCGAAAGTCGGACGCTTAACCGACTAAGCCACCCAGGCGCCCCTCATCAGTTTTAACTCCACTGACAAGACAGAAGGAAAAACTATACTTATACCACATGAAATAAAGAGTAATGTGGGAAAAGTTTTTCTTCCCCAGATAGAAAGGAAATCTCTCCACCCTTCTGGAATAAGGGAACTGAAAATGCCTTAAGGTCAGCCTATTTAGCAAGTAAGCCCACCTTAACAGTCTTCCTTTACTATTTTATTACTTGGTCAACTCATTCACTTTTTAATATGCCTGAGGATGATATCCATGCTTCCTCATATGGACTTTCCCCTTGTTTCTCTATGGAGAGACTTTATTTCTATTGGAGAGCAATGATGTGCGTTTTATTTCCTTTAGCAACTATCGGCATGTATTTGACTTCCTGTGCTCATGAGACCAGACAGAAAAACAAAGAAGATGGCCCAGGAACTATAAGGCATCTGGTCAAGACATCTTCCCTTCAGAAGTCACTGATCAACATTTGAGAGACCGGCTGTGGCGGGTGTCTGTCTCGGTTCGAGTGTCTGCCGCTCTGTTCACAGAGCTGTCTCTGCTGGTGTCACCCAAATCCAGATGGGGAGGACCTCAGCCTCAGGTTCTGGCCAACCGGTACAAGTCCAGGCTCCACCAACTAACTGCTTTCTTTCCTTCCGTGGGCACAGAGAGACAATAATACACTATGGCTCTCACGAAAACTATCCTAATTGGTGATGCTTTCCAGACATCTGTGTCAAAACTAACTTGTAGCTGATGCCCACTTGCTTACATTTCACTCGAGCTCCAATTATTTGCTCTGAAAGGGAAGTGTTTGCTTTTGTACACATTTTGGTTTCAACCTCCAAAACCAGTGCTGGAAATTAATCTGAACCACTGAACATTTCTGCTTTAAAACCCAAACCCGAGTCCACCGTTTTAATGACATCAATTACAAATACACTATTTTTTTAAATTCTACTGTGAAGGGTAGTGGAATAGGCTTGCCACACAAACCATTAAACCAGAGTCCTGGTCCTGATGAATTACTCAAAACTATAGTTCAGAATTAGTTAGCACTCACAATCGCATGCTTCAAGTTAGTGCTTAGCCAATCGGAGAGTTCATTTATTCACACACTTGTCGACTTGCACCCTAAATCTCCAGCTGCACAGTTATGCGGTCTTACACATACACATGTAAGCCTTATGAGAACACCAATATCAAAGCAAAACAGTGGCAGAACCACCACACCCCATTAGCTCAACGCTGAAGGAAGAAGGGTAGACCATGGCCTCCCTCTTCCTATGCCCTTGGTAAAGATCAAACTAGTGCTTTTCACAGGATTAGAAATAGAAAATGGGTTACTTCACGGATATAAATAACTCTGTGGTGCACTTCATTGATTCTAAATCCTTGAATACACCCAACCAATTTCCTTCAGATAGTCAGAAATGAAGCCTTGTTTCCCTTCATTTTAAATCAATGTTTCTCTGTATGCGTTCTCTCATTTATCTTCATGTCTTCTATTTTGATTATTTGCTTGTAGGAGTATCACACCAATGGCTGGGGGAATGAATTTGATGGTGTTCTTCTACAGTTGAACAAGCCAAACCTGGTCATGCGTTCTTAAACACAGCTGCCCTGGGAACATTTTTAAGGCTAGTAATGTGGATCAACAGATCACATTTTTTAAAAAATCGCAGCAACAGATTAATATTGCTAACTCTTTTACTAAGTATTACAAATTCACTTGGCAAACTATGCGATAGGCACAGGAGAACATACAAAATCCTGTAAGATATAAACTCTCACAAAACAAAAAGAGAAAAAGAAATGTAAGCCTAGTTTTGTCACAGTTTGGCTTCCTCCCACACATTTCCTGCCATTAAGGGTGTTGTCGCCTATGCTCAGAACAGAGCTTGGAAGAGTGCCCAGAAGAATGTCAAGAACTACAATGGCACATAGTAGGTACTCAATAAATACCTGTTGACTGGCTGACCTAAGACTTATTTCATAAATGTTTTCCCTCTTGAAACAGCCCTTTCTTTTGCACTTTTCTTCTCCAGGATATTTACCCTGACTTTCACAGCACATAATCTCCCTAACAATAAGGTTCAACTCTGGTTCTCACCACACTGGGATTGTAGATGCACCTTTCCAGCTGGCTTCCTTGCCTTCATGTTTCTACTTTCTATTTCTCCTGGTCTTTGATTCCTCCTGCTTCCTCCACCAAATTAAAATATCCCAGGGGCGCCTGGGTGGCTTAGTCGGTTAAGCGTCCGACTTTCGCTTAGGTCGTGATCTCGCGGTTCGTGGGTTCGAGCCCCGCGTTGGGCTCTGTGCTGACTGCCAGCCCGGAGCCTGGAGCCTGTTTCAGAGTCTGTCACTTCCTCTCTCTCTGACCCTCCCCTGTTCACGCTGTCTCTCTCTCCTAGAAATAAATAAAACATTAAAAAAAATATCCCAGATGCGTTGGCAACATTGGAGATCTTCTTATAGACAAAGTAGAATTTGCTCTAATCCCTGTGATTCCACAGAACGTAGAAATCCAAAGCCTTTCACTTTCAACGATCCTGCTGGGGAACCCACAGGCCACCCCACTGCCTGCCCCATCAACTCAGAGTCTCCTGAATGGCCTTTACAATCATTCTTCCTCAGCCCAATCCTCCCTATCCAACTTGATTTTCCTCGGAGTTCTCGCCAACATTCACCGTCTCTTCCAATCTGGCCCTTCTCTTTTCTTCCCCGGCACATTCTATGGTCTTCCCTTCCCAGGGCTCTTAATAAAGGCCTTCAGTTCACCCAATCATTCATATCTATTTTTCTCAGGACTCCACTTCCTCCAAGTAATCAATGTTTCTTTGAGAATTTCTATTACACACTAAAGATGATGAGATTTTTACATTTATGTTCCTGCTCACAATGAAAAATCGTTATTATACATTATCTTCCAGAATCACCATTCTAGGTAGGTTTCAGTATCCCCATTTTTCTGTTGAAGACACCAAGGCCGTGAGAGACACAGTGCTTTGTCAAGGATGCTCATTCATGAAGGGCCAGCACCAGCGGCTTTAGTTTTGTAACTCCAAGTCCTAACTGTCCTTCCAACTACGCCATATCCCATCCCAGTTACTGACCCATTTTCCTAACGCCCTTACAGAGAACACTCTAAAAGTGTGCTCACTTCCTGAATTCCTTTTCCCCACTTCCTATCCTCCGTTTTCTCTTAAAATTTCACCCAATGTTCTTTTGAATCTCTCCTACTGACATTTCTTTTTGCCAGGATCACCAATGGCTTCCACAATGCCAAATCCAATGGCAGTTATTACAGTCTGGTTCTGAATAACCCAGTATTTCCTTCTGATTTTTCAATGTCACAAAACTGAAATATGAACTCTAGGTAGTACCATCAAGACTTTGAGATGCTTAACAAATACTCTGCACTGCCTAATACACTGCTACGTTTTCAATTTCCCACTCAGAACACATTTCCGCATTTGTTTACCTCCATATAATCAGAGCATCTCTGTTGGTCCTGGTCTGTGCCTATTTGCCTCCTTATCTTATTAACAGGGGAAAATGCGCTTCAGAACCACCTCTGCATACTTCCCACAGAGCTTTTGACCTTGATAGGTGACTAAGCCTCTAATTCTCCCCCCAGTCATAGACCTCCCTCAGCCAACTCACCACCTCCCTTGTTCTGTGGGGCAGGCTACTCCACGAAGTGATGGCTTCTTTTCTCTACTTCATTCAGCCCCCTGAACACTAGAAGTCAGACACTAGGAAAGCTGGCTCCATTTTCACAAGTTTTGAATAAAAAATAATAATAATTCAAATTATATTTCCAGGTAGACTAAGTAGCTTAAAATAAAGTATCTGCCAAACAGGATGGCTCTGGTTTTCCAGATATCTGTTGGAAATGAAGATGTTTTAGATTTCAAGATTTCCTAAGAATCTTGACTCTATATTCTATCATCTTTTGTGTAGCTAGATTTCCAGAAATCAGAAAAGCCCTCATCTGGCATTGGATCTTCTTCCACTTGCCCTTCAGCAGACACCTATCTCCTATGAATCAGGAGAGAATTACTCTGCCCCTTGATTCAGCTATTCCTGATCCACAGCCTTTTTGTGTTGGGAAAAGTGAAGCACTATTTTTCCCCTCCCTTCCTGGTAATGTGTGAGCAGCTACATTGAAAACACTCTTTTTTCCTACATAGATTTTTTTCCTCCATTAATTGATTTAAATTGGTTTCTTCCTTTACTTATACTTGATTCCTATTTATTTCTGTTTCTCTCTCTCTTTTTCTTAAGTAAGCTCTATGCCCAACATGGGGCTTGAACCTACAACCTTAAGATCAAAAGTCACAAGCTCTACCAACTAAGCCAGCCAGGTGCCCCTGCTACTTACTTTAGGGGGGGGGGGGGAAGGTGTCTGGGTGGCCAGTCAAATATCAGACTCTTGACTTCAGCCCAGGTCATGATCTCAAGGTTCATGAGATCGAGCCCTGCATCAGGCTTTGCGCTGACCTCATGGAGCCTGCTTGGGATTCTCTCCTTCTCTCTCTGCCCCTCCCCTGCCTGCTCGCTCTCTCTCAAAAATAAAAATAAACAAACTTTAAAAAAAAAACATCTAAAATTCAGTGAAATTTTCTAGTTAGAGTAATCTGAAATCACTTTGGCTGTGGTAATATTTTCTGTACTTTTCTTTAAATTATCAGCTGGAATCTCTTCTCTTCCTGAGTTCAGTGTGACTCACACTAAGCCATTTTTAAACATGAACTATTCAAGAGAGATGTGTGAGCCTGGGCAAGTCCCTTAACTTCTCAAAGCCTTTCCCTCACTTGTAAAACGGTGTCTTCACGTGGTTATTACGAAGTTAAAGGAATAACATAAACTTTGTAAACTAAACAAATGTAGAGTATTTCCTCAAACGCAGGTCTAAGAATCCTCAGTGAAGGCATGTGGCACCACTCTAGAAGTGGGAACATGGAGAGGGGGCCTCAGAGAGGTGTGGAGAAGGACCACAGAGGCCATTATGGTGCCCAGCACGGCATGCGCTTACACATGGCCATTTCGCATGCTCGATATCCCATGAGCACCTATCAAACAGGATAAAGTGAGAAAACAAAGGAGACAGGAAGAAAAGCAAGAAAGAGAATGTACAATTATATTCTGGGGCAGGCAACTAGATCAGGAAATAAATAATCCCATGGGCTAGAATACTCTTAAAGGAACTAGAATAAATTTTATACCGATTTTTACAAACTATTTTCAAAATGTTTATTTTTACCTCATATAAGATTTATCATCTTGAGATCTGGCAACCCCTTCTAATAATTTTAAAAAATGAAATCAGCTTAGAAGATATGAGCAAAATTTTATAAAATAAAAAGGAAGTGTGTGACTACATATGCATACCCACAAATACATTCTCAGGAAAAACACTGGAAGGAAAGGCATCAAAATACTAACTGGGATTATTTTTGGTATTGAATTTCAAGTGACTTTTACTTTCTTCTTTATGCTTTCTGATTATTTCTGAAAATTTTACAACCAATACTTTTCTTATGTAGTCATTAAATGAAAACAAATGTCCTTGTAAACGAATAAACTGTAGTATATCTAAACAACAGAATATTATTTAGTATTAAGAAATGAGCTCTCGAGCCATGAAAAGACATAGAAGTACCTTAAATGCATGTTATGCAGTGAAAGAAGCCAATCTGGAAAGGCTAGATACTGTAGGATCCCAACTGTATGACATTCTAGAAAAGGTAATATTGTGGAGACATGAAAAGGATATCAGTTTTTAGGGGCTAGGTGGAGGAGGGGTAAACAGGGGGAATACAGAGGATTTGGGCAGTGAAACCACTCAGTATGATACATGTTATTATATCTTTGTCTAAACTCACATGGTGTATATAACACCAAGAGTAAACTCTAAGGTAAAACAAGGACTTTGGGTAATCATGATGTGTTAATGAATGCAGATTCATTGCCTGTAATGAGAGTACCACTCTGATGGGAGCTGCTGATGATGGGGAAGCTGTACATGTGTGGGAGCAAGGGATACGGGAGGTATCCATATCTTCCTCCCCAGGATGCTGTTGACCTAAAACTGTTCTTAAAAAGTACATCTTAGGGGCGCATGGGTGGCTCAGTCAGTTAAGCGTCCAATTCTTGATTTCAGCTCAGGTCATGATCTCACAGTTCATGGGATCGAGCCCCACATTGAGCCTCTGCACTGATAGCGCCACGGAGCCTGCTTGGAATTCTCTCTCTTCCTTGCTCTCTGCCCCTCCCCTGTCCCACCCCACTCCCATCTCTCAAAATAAACATTTTAATAAAAAATTACATCTTAAAAATAAATGTTACTCAAAATGTAAGAAACATGGGTAGCACTGAGCATCACACATGCTTGTGTTACTAGGCCCACAAATGTTACATTTTCACCAAAACAATGTATTTTCCACATACTCTAAACTACCACAAAAGAAAAGTATGACTACTTCTCTACAGTGGCAGAACACTTATACACAGTGGCATTAAAGATTAACAGGAAAATACAAAATGCACACGGTAGGTAAAAATTCATTTTGTGTGACTAATAATAATTTTGATTTCCCTAAGAAGATGGCTTAGTAAAGGTAAGTAAGAGCCAGAAGAGTCCAAAGTGATATTGCCAATTGCCACATGAGACCCTTTCTACCTGGGTTCCTCACCTGTGCCTCAGTCCTTCCCACTTCCCACTGCACTAAGGACAGAGAAAGAACTACAAATAATATTTGAGACTCTAACTTAGTTTAGATTTGCCTTAACCTCTGATATAAAGTTCCATAAAGTTTCTCCTCAAAATCACTCACAGATATTCAAAGCCTTTGGTATCAAGCAGCAGAAAAAGTATGGACTTGAAGCCAGAAAACAGTTGACTTTGCTATTGCAAAGGACTTGGGTTGCCGAATGCAACTTCTTGAGGCCTCAGTTTCCTCATTTGTAAACGAGGACATCATGGAGACAAAGCATCCAGCACAGAACCTCAGGAACTAACAGATGTTAGTTTTTATGCTCTTCTCACGCTGTGCACACATGCTCTTGAAACTGGAGTTTTGTTACACCCTCCTTAGCTTTGGAAACCCTTCTTTGAATCAAAATGTACCCAGAAGCCCATTCTGTAAAGACAGACAAGTGCCCCCCTGCTCTGGTTGGGGAGAGCGGTGACAGAGTGAGAGAGCTTGCAGGTGCTGGTGAAGAGGTAGATGCGGTGACTGAGGGACGAAGAAGTGGAGAGAACAGAGTGAGGTGACAAACTGAGATAAAGATGGCGACCATGGAGCTGAGTTCTCAGTGAGGGCACAGAGCAGAGGTGGTGGGGACAGGGGGCTGAAAGCTGTAAGGAGATGTGGCTATGGCCAGAAAGCAGACAACAATAAAGAGTGACTGACTAGTCATACATTTTTATAAGTTGTAAAAATAAAAGGTGGGACCCTGCTCATCTGCCCAACGAATTAAGTCCTCAATGTCCTGATATGTTTAACAGAATACTGAGGACTGAACTGGGCTTTCTTCTCAATTCTGCTGTGTCTCTTCCAAGTTAGCTTCTCAAAGTTACTTCATCAGCACCTAACATTCAGAGGCTCTGACACAGAGCAGGCTCATTGGAAGCATCTGCCCAATTAATGCAGAGAGAGAGAAGACATAATACAGACCTTATGGAAGCTGACTTTTCCTCGTAAGGCTCATTCATTTTATTATCAAAGTCACCGAGGACAAAAGGATCTAAGAATCAACATTAGAATTTCATGGAATTGCTCCCAGGTACTTTCTAACTCTGTGGAGGTCTTGGGAGTTAATATCCTAATGTATAAATAAAATCTTTTTTTAAATGGTATTTTAAATAATTTACAAACCATGCGCCTTCCAATGGCCTGGCAATTGAGACCGAAGATAAGATAATAGATCAATGTGAGTGTGTTTTCCTGATAGGAGCACTATTAAAAGCCATTCCAAGGACCAGCCAAATGGCGCCAGGGCTAGAGCTGGGAATATGACTCAGCTACGGTTTAGCTTCAGAGGCTCTTTGCAGTAGCAAAAAATAATAAAAAAAGAAAGAAAGAAATGTTTCAAAAATTGTTTTCCTCAAAGGACTTTTAGTGCAATTGATTCCAGCCCTGAAAAGAATGAAAGGAGACATTTATAAATTAGCCGGCTTCCACCTAGTCCTTCAAACACAAGGATCTCTCCGTTCCCCATAAAGTCTTTATTTACGGCAATATCTGACTCATCCTGTTGAGCGCCTAGCACAAGGCACACAGCACAAGCGGTAATAACCAGAGGCATCTATCTAGATCATCAGATTTCCTTCCTCTGGTCAGTTTGTGCCACAAATCTCATGCTGCAAAAGCTACATTTCATCTTTCGGTGTCAGATTTTTCCCAATTCAGTTGCAACGTTTTATTTACGTGCATTTCACTTCTCACCAAAGAGAACGCAGTGGTGACTCCACACCACATAAGGGCTTCACCAGAGCTGTGAGTGATGATGGAAAGTCGATCCTTCCTCTGTAAAATGGATGTCTGGTGCTGCTCTAGCCAGTAAAGTTCCTTCCTACTAACCACTATTCGTATATGGCCACTGGGCTACTATGTGACAAATTCACTACCATCAAGCCACATCCCCAGCACCACTCCTAGACAGCCTGGATGAGAGCAAACAGAAAAGGCACCTCTCATCCTTGGGTCTCCCAGCCAGTTGGTTCCACTGCGGAACTGCTGCGCCGGGTCTCACAGTACACGTCCCACTATGATATATATGAGACAGGCAAAAATATGCTCTGTAAATAATAAAATGGGCATGTGCCCTACATGTTGGTTCATCTATGGTTTCCTAATTTTGGACTCCAAAAACCCCCGCAGCCCCAGCCCCAGCAAACTTCCTTGCTGTGTCTGATCTGTGCCACCAAAGTAGACTTCTAAAAATATCCAGGGGAGTCCACGTGGGAATCCCCCAAGAAGTGACCAAGGCACAGGACCCTCCACTGGCACCCTATCTGAAGCATCCACTTTTGCTCCCCTTAAATCTCAAGACCTTTATGGAAACCTCTGGCCTTCTTGAGTTAACCTTTTAGACATTATCACGGCCATGGGTTCAACCTTCCATAAAGCTCTGGCGGCTGAACACTCTCACTTGGTGTCTATCACAGTTTCTCTAAAGGAAAGGGAGGTTGGTTAACTTTTTAAGCTTTTATTTATTTATTTCTGAGAGAAAGTGTGAGGGGGGAGGGGCAGAGAAAGAGGGAGGGAGAGAAACCCAAGCAGCCTCCGGCTTTCAGCACAGAGCTGGATGCGGGGCTTGAATCCACAAACTGTGAAATGACCAGAGCCAAAACCAAGAGCT